GAAGCAGTCGGCCGGCCGGGCGACGCGCCGGTAACCTTGCCGCAGCACTCGCGCGTGTACGTGACATTGTTCATCTTAGCCTGGACCTGGAAGACGGAGCCCTCGGGGTCGCCGTAGTTGTAGTAGTCCACATTGAGCACCTTTGGCGGGAACCCCCAGTCGCGGGTGCAGTTCTGGGCCGCGCCGCCGAGGGACCCGTTGCCGGTGGCGTTGTTTGTCGAATTCAACAACGACACGGCGGGGACGAGGATGGAGGCGCCGAAGATGTTGTACTCTGCGTTTAGGTTGTGGTTCATGAGGTAGAGGCGGTCGCGGGCGGCTTCCTGCGAGAGGTCGGGCGGGCGCTGGACGGTGCAGGGGAAGGTGCGGTCCATGGGGTCAAAGGGGCTCTCCCACATTTGGGAGAACTCGTCGAGGAGCCAGGGGAATTTCTGCTGGTCGGCCATGTAGTCCATGAACATGACGACGCGCTTGCCCCCCAAGATCATCTGGGAGAGGGTGGGCCAGTCTTCGAGTCTCATGGGGAGGTAGGGAGGCTGGTAGGCGTATTGGAGGATTCCGGTTGACTCGATGAAGGGGGCGTAGAGGTCCGGGGTGGAGTAGTTGCCGTTGCCGAGGAGGATGGTGACGACGTCGTACGGGTGAGAGGCGACCCATTCGCGGACGGTGGTGAGCCATTCGGTGATGGGGCCCACTATAGTGTAAGGTTAGCTAATGGCTCTTTGAGGATGAAGCTTGGTCTTGAACAGAACTCACCATCGAGGATATCACAGGAAGAATGGCAAAAGTGCGGTACCGTGCCATTTGTGGGCCACTGGATCTGAGCCTGGAGGAAGCGGATGCCGTCGTTGAGCTGAGTGGTGACATCGAGAGCCTGGTTGGAGGCCGAGTTCCCGGGGCGCACAAAGGGGGAGTTGTGACACCCGACCTCGGTGACGTTGCTGTACTTGCGGTCGCAGAACTCGACGTAGTTGTTGCAGGGCTGTGTGTTTGTCGGGCCGGCGGGTGCGGTCTCGGTCTGGGTGGCATTGGCATCGGTGCCGGTGATGGTTGAGGTGACGACGGAGGTCTGGCCCGAGATGATGACGACGGACTGGCCCACGGAATTTGTGGTGGTTTGCGTGACGTTGCCGGTGACCGTCATGGTCCCGGTCATGGTGGACAGGTCTCCATTTGTGAGGGTGATTCTCGAGGTGTAGGTTGCGTAGGGACCCGTTGGGGTCCTGGGCTGGGTGACTGCGACGGTCTTGGTTCCCGAGAGGAAAGTCACGTCGTCGGTGTTGGAGAGGGTGAATGTGCTCGTGCTGACTTGGTCCTGCGCTGCGGCTTGGGCTGTGAAGAGGGATAGGAGCCCGAGGGAGAGGGCAAAGAGTGGTCCTGTCATGCTGGGCGAGGCAGCCTCTCTGGCGAGGACTTTGTTGGTGGAGTGGCCGCGAGGAAAGGGAAGGGAAGTCGTGGAGTTGTTGTTGCTTCTCGAGGGAATGGTCAGGTAAGGTAAGGTAGGGGTGGTTTCCCGGGCTCGATATGGTTGTATGTTATTCGAGGTCTGGGAGTAGACTTTGAGAGAGTCTGGGATGGCTGCAAGACGCAGTGACCACGGTGCGCCCCTCGGGGGAAAGAAATTTGAGTTGGGCGAGGGACGGGAGACGGGAGACAGAAGCCAAAAATGGTTATCGGACGAGGAGAGTTTCGATGACGATCCCCAAGCAAAAAATACCGCCGAAAAGCAGAAGCACGCTAGGGTGCCTAGTATACTCTTTTTCGAGGCGTTTTTCTCTTCGTCACGCAACGGCAGAGGCGGAAAGAAATGTTGGAGAATTTCACATATGAGAGAGGAAAGGTGCGGCCGTTTGCCAATGTTGCGCCAGCCAGCAACGAGAAATCTAGACTCTGGAGTCTAGAGGAACGACTATTTTTCCTGGACCTTGGTGCCAATTGTCGAGACTTCGCATACGTCCAGCTATGACATAATATTTGTGTACTTCCTTCCTCGTTTTTCCCGGGGTGGCCCAGACATTCTTTCTGCAGCCTGCGGCCTGCGGCACGCCTTGGAGGCTTGGAGGGGTGGTGGCCCAGGCCCCATACGGCGCTACCGCCAAACTGGCAGGGGGCACCGGGCCCCATGTAGCTACCTTACCTAGCCAGGTTGGTAGTGGACACCAGGAGCACAGAGCCCCATCAAGACGGACCCACCACCACCGGAAGCTGCTGCGAGGATCGCTGGGGATGTGCCGGGTCCCTGCTGGTCATCTCATCGGCAGCTCCAGCTCGACAGGGTCACGCAGTCATGTCATTGGAACCTATCTGTCACATTTGTTTTGTGCGTATACTGCAAGCAGGCAGCAGGTGACCAACAGTATTTGGCATGTTGAGAGAGGCTGTCAAGAGACTGAGAGACATTGACTGGAAGTAACCCACCAACAATCCCGATACAACAGATGGCCAGCAGGTCAAGTCATGGACGCGCCGTTCCATCTACCCATCCATACCAGACCGACTACCTTACGGTACCACTGCATATCTGCGGCTGTGGCTTGCGGCAAAGGACAGCGCAGAAAGCCATGGACCGGGGGCCCTATACGGATATCCCTGGCGATCACCGGCTCCTGTGCCGGCGTGGCGGGGACGGACGCGCGTGCAGGATGGCCCTGCTGGACGCGCCTTTGTCTCCTCGGAATCCGAGAAATCCAAACTGTTCGTCATGTTTGCAAAACAAAGATCCGGCAAGCTGGGGAAAAAATGGACAATGGTCATCGATGACCATCGTCGTTGAGGCTGAGAGGTAGATCAGGAAGATCGAAAAAAAAGGGTAATAGAAAAAACAAAACAGAGTTTTAGGCTCAACACTTACCGCCCATCCTCATTTCGTTTGTTTAGGTCAAGACATCTATCTGGGTCCCTGCTGGGATCGTGACCCTTGGATGCTACGACGGGGAATTTTCAAACTATTTCTGACTTGGTCCCTGGAAGAGAAACGCCTCGACATACCCCTCCCCCGTGGGTCATTCTCCTTGGATATGCCTCAGCGATGAGCATCATGAGCACAATACACGTATATCTATCTGCGCGAATAGGAAGAAGAGGTATGCAACCTGCAGGAGACACAAGGCGGGACGGGGGACATCCGTACGGGGCCCGGGAGTCGGATCGATGGTGCAACAAGGAGAAAGCGGCCCTAACCAACCATCAATCCACCCATTGAAATCTCATTTCACACAGCCGCCGTCCGGCTCTAGGTACGCACCTGGCTTGCTGATGGGTCGTGGGTTGGGCTGCTGTCGTTGTTGCGTTGTTGCTGTTCCATTTGCATTTCGAGTGGCTTGCCGAACTTCCTTTTGCGCTTAGTAACCGCTGTCAACCGTGATGATCCCACTTCAGCTGAGGAGTGGCTACAGATCCCACAGAACGATACAGATCGCCCGCCTGCGGAGAGAGTGACACAACGGCCCGGTTGGCTGGAACTCGTCGACGGAGGCTTGGAGGCGGTGCTGTACCAAGTATGGGCAGATGGCATGGGGGTGGTCACGGTGGTGGTTGCGGGTATCCGTATGGGGGCCGCGCGAAGCTCGTTTAGACGGCCCCTCGGAACCCGAAAGTGGAAAGGCATTTGGGGTCTTGTTCTGGATGGAGAATGGTACCGACGTACGGATACCTGATCTCGCGGCGGTGCCACGGGACTTGATGTCTCTCTCCCCCTTTTTGACGCCCCGAGGAGTAGCCCCGAGGTGAGCCATGATGCTGCAGTATGCAGTTATCGACTGCTGCACTCCATTCGTCTGTGCCGTCACTGGAGAGTCTGTGTGTCCTATCCATTGAGTTGAGTTCTTCTCTGTGAAAAGACCGTGAACTTGTGAATATGAGCGACTGTGAGTGAGTGAGACGAAATGGAGATGGACGGCAGCTTGGAAACATGAGGTGGATGGACCCACCGCACAACCTGGAATGAGGCAGCGGAGTCCCACTTAGATACCTACGGACCCGCTAGCCGTGGCGCGACGCTAGCAAGAAAAACGCTGGGATGATCCAATGCAGAAAACGCAGCAGCAGCAGCAATAGCAGCAGAAAGAGAGGGAAAAATAGTGTAGTAGAGAGAAAAAATAAAAAAGATATTGGTTGCTACGACGTCATTCTCCCTGTCCGGCTGTCAGTGACCCATGCAAACACCTGGACCATCCTCAGCCTCTACACAGAAAGCAACCCCCCGGAGAACAGCGATACGCCTGGGTTTATGCCAACTCAATCAGACCCGTCCCGCTCTGTTTATCCTCTCTCGTCTCTCTATCTGTCCATACATCCATCCAGGTTTGGCTCCGGTGTCTTGGCCCTGCTTCTGCCTCGAGTCTTTGACGCCTTGTCCGTATTTACCAACCACCAGGGCTCCAGAGTCCAGGGGTGTTTACGGAGTACTCTCCATCGAATCCATTGTGACAGCCTGGCCTGGTCTGGAATCATTTTGTTTTGTTCCTTTTCCATCTTCCAGACACAAAATTGCCGAGTGGATTCGATCAGTCGAGCTAGCTTCCTGACGCTCATCGTCATTATCCGTCTCTGGTCCTTCTTTGGCTTCCCGACTCCTCCCCGCTCCGCCAACCTTTTTGCACACGTAGGGCCGATTCCCTTTTTTCGCATCATAGCCCCTTGGCCCGAGACGCCTACGCCTACGCCTAATACTCTTGGATTACGGACGGCTTTCTCGAGTACGGCCGCGCCTGGATCGCTCAACGGGACGAATTCCCCGGGTATTATTCAATTCTCTTTTTTTGTCACCTCTCCGGACCATCGGCAAAGTTGGAGAGAGAGAGAGCTCCGATTACCTTACCGCGTCATCTTGCCCTCTCACACGCATTTACGTGAGATATCTAGGGAGAGAGGAGAGATTTCCGTATACTGTACTCCATCATCCCCGGGTCCCAGATTCCGGTTCCAAGTCCGCCCTCCTTCGACGACCGCAATCCTCCTCCTCCACTTCAAGACTCAAGCTCCGAATACAGACCCTCACGATGGCCAAAGTCCGCCGGAACAGCGCCATCACCGCGGCCGTCTGCTACTTCATCGCCATCATCTTCCTCATCCTCGTCATCATCGGCAACACCTCCATCAAGCCCGTTCTGACGGACATTTACTTCTTCAAACTCGATGTCTCCGACATCATCCCGCTCTCCTCGGCCAACGCCGTCCTCCTCAACTCCGTAGCCCGCAGCCTGGGACTCCACGACTTTTACCAAGTCGGTCTCTGGAACTTTTGCGAAGGCTACAACGATGAGTAAGTGCCCCCCAGGTGTCTCGATCGTAGGAACGAACGTACTAACACACCATCACCAGGGGCGTCACCTTCTGCTCAACCCCCCAGCGCATGTGGTGGTTCAACCCCATCGAGATCCTCACCAACGAGCTCCTCGCCGGCGCCACCATCGCCCTCCCCTCCGAGGTCAGCACCATCCTCAACATCCTCCGCATCGGCCAGCAGGTCATGTTCGGCCTCTTCATCTCCGGCATCTCCCTCGCCGCCGCCCTCCTCATCGTCACCCCGCTCGTCATGCGCTCGCGCTGGTGGAGCCTGCCCATCGCCATCTTCGCCGGCATCACGGGTCTCCTCGTCACCGTCGCCTCCATCATCGGCACCGTCATGAGCGTCGGCGCCAAGATCGCCCTCACCCAGCAGTCCGAGCTCAACATCAACGCCGTCCTCGGCGTGCGCATGTTCGTCTTCATGTGGCTCGCCAGCGCCCTCGTCGACCTCGCCGCCATCCTCCACATGGCCATGGGCTGCTGCTGCTCGCCTAGGAAAGAGAGGGAGGCTGCCGCCGCCGCCGCTGCTGCTGCCGGCGGGGCGAGCACTACGCCGGAGAAGACGACCAACACGACTGAGAGCGGCGAGAAGCCGTCGAGGCTGCCGGCTTTTATGAGAAAGCGCAGCCCGAGGTCGTCGACGTCGTAGATGTTACGTGTGAGATATCATGTTGACGAGCATGGAGAAACGTCGGTGGCGTTGGCGGTCTTATCCATCGCACAACCTCGTACAAGTGGTTACACTTGGATAGTACATGTGCTCCTCATGGCTCTCGTGCAGATGGAGTATCGATACCGACCACTGTGTAAGAGACCTCGAGCCCGGCAGCATCAGCACTCCGTCGCCGGCACGGAACAACGGATTTGAAATTGAGCAATGGCGTTGGTGGTTGCGGTTTAATCGGATGACCATGACAATAGACTTTTGGGCAAACGGATAGTCAAGTAGAGACGAACAGGCATGTCTGCCAGATTAGCATAGTTTTGCCTTTCTTTGAGGTATTTGAACAAACAAGTAATCGATATTACTGAAATGCACAAACATGCGAGGTTCGTGAACCATGGAACAGGATACGTTGAGTAATTCAGATCAAGACTGCGGCTTCGCGTATACAATATGTAGGTAATGCAGGAAAACTTCAAGCTCCCAACGTCGCATCTTTGTACCTTGGAGTCGGTGTCGCGTGGTAAAAGATGCAGTATACTTTCCCCGCAGCGCAGTCCGGGGTAAGAAGCAATGTACCCCTTATCGGTCGGGGGATCGGGGGACGCGCCCTCGGCCTAGACCCCTCCAAACGACCGTGAGCCTCGGCTCATTTTTCGCAACTGGGAAGCTCAGACGACCGCACCCCGAAAGCTGCTCTCCTTCTCACATCAGCCAAAGATAGCTCCCGCGCCCTTGTCTTTCATCGTTCTACATCTACATCTCTCGGTCCTCTTTCAGATTCGATTGTGTTGTTTGCAACTTGGTCGTTTCAACTTGTCAATTGTCCTGTACCGGAAGTCAAGCTACTGCAACAACTCCCATCTTCCCCAACGAAATAGTAGGAATTCAGCAGCAATGGATGTCGCATCGCTCTTCAACGTCAAGGTAAAGATCAAGCTCCCTCTCGCTCTCCCTCGTCCTCGTCCTTATCCACATCCTCGACAATTCCCAAAGTCAAATTCTCAAACACCAAGCTAACCCCCCCTCCCCCTCTCTCCAGGACAAAAACATCCTCGTAACAGGCGGCGCAAAGGGAATAGGCTACATGATCTCAGAAGGCTACGTCACAAACGGCGCAACAGTCTACATCTCCTCCCGCGACGCAAAAGCCTGCTCCGCCTCCGCCGCCGCCCTCACCGCCAAAGGTCCGGGCAGGTGCCACGCCATCCCCGCCGACCTCCAAAAGCTAGACGACTGCAAGCGCCTCGTCGACGAGCTCGCCAAGCAGACGGGCGGGCGACTCCACGTCCTCGTAAACAACTCGGGCGCGGCGTGGGGCGACGCCTTCGAAACGTACCCGGACGCCGCCTGGACGAAACTCCTCACCCTGAACCTCCAGCGCGTCTTCACGCTCACGCAGCTCGCCGCGCCCCTCCTCGAGGCCGCGTCCGGCGGCGCGGGCGACCCCTCGCGCATCATCAACATCGGCAGCGTAGACGGCCTCCGCGTGCCCCTGATCTCCTCGTACGCCTACAGCGCGAGCAAAGCCGGCCTCCACCACCTCTCGCGCGCGCTCGCCAGGGAGCTGGGGCCCAGGGGCGTCACGAGCAACACCCTGGCCTGCGGGCCGTTTGAGAGCAAGATGATGGCGGCCACGCTCGAGACGATGCGCGATACCATCGAGGAGGAGATCCCGATGCGGAGGATCGGGACGCCGCAGGATGTCGCGGGCGCGTGTCTGTTCTTGAGCGGGCGGGCGGGCGCGTTTGTGACCGGGGCGACGATTACTGTTGATGGTGGGATTGTGTTGGCTTCCAAGTTGTGAGATGGGCCTTGGGGGGGGGGGGGTGTCATGTTTGGAACTGTAGAAATGTGTAGATGGAAATCTCATCAAAGAGTTTTGTTCATTCTTACAAGCTCAGGATTACGGCGAGAACATATAAGAAAGACATGAGAGCGAACGGCAGTCAAACATTGGGGCCATGTCACATTAGAGATACTGCAATCTGTAATCCAAAGGAGTATTGAAAAAAGACCAGATAGACTGGCCATATGTCTTTGTAGCTAAGAATTTGTAAAGCAAGATCTAGGTAAGACCATTTGTCCTCCTCAGTGGTATTCATACAGGAAAAACAGTAAATAATAAAATGGTGAGCGGAATCCAATTCAACTGGGTCGTGATAGACGCCCAAGTTTCTTCCCTCCCAAAACGCCAAAAGTCGTGTCCTTTCCAAAATATTCGTGATATCAAAACGAAATTTCCCGCAATGCAATGATGCCCCCCATTTGTTCCGTATACGCCAGTTGTTGTGTGAATGTGTAGGAGTGTGGTTGCGTGTGTTTATCATGAAGGAAAAACCCCAGTGAGATGAACCCGATGAGATGAGTCTTTGTCTATCCCCGCCTCTAATCACCGAGAAGAAATGCGAAACCGTGTCGAGTTCCCCAGAGACTTCAATGTCGATTAAATGTTGTGTAGCGAGCGGGTGAAGAGTGAAAGCGAGTGAGAGAGTGAGTGAGAGGAAAGGGAAGAGATGGACCGAGGAAGGCCACGCCAGTGACTGAATCTGGTGAGGGGAAGAAGAGCTAAGGGGAGTCCAGTGTCGTCGGTTCAATGACACGACAAACTCTCTCTCGCCCTGGTCCCCCTCTGCCCCGACTCCGCCGAAGCGTTGGCGCGGTGCCTCGGTTTCCCTCTCGGCCCCGTAACAGCGTTTCAGCGGGGTCCTCTCATCCGATGAAATTCGGAGTATTGGTTCCTCAAAATGACGGTCTGAGCCAGTTGGAGAAAAAGCTTCCCGGGACGATGGGAAAAGCTCGGTCGCTTTCGGACTCTTTCTTTGCGTGAACCGAACAGAATGCGGCATCCATCTATGAGAGCCCGCAAGACTCAAAGTCGCGCATCATGACGGCCATCTGGGCACGTTTTGCGGCCTCGGCGACGAGTGTGAAGTCGCGGAGGAAGGCCTCGGTTGAAGGGGGCTGCTGGCCGTTGGGTTGGGGTGGCGCCATCATTTGGTTTGTGGACATGTGCGACGATGAGGAGGAGATGGAGGACGTGGAGTCCTGGCGCTTGGGAGACTGGATTGGTGCGTTCATGGTGGGCGGTGCGTGGTGGGTGATGGTAACGATTTTCGAGATGTTGTTGTGGTTGTGATACGATTCTCTCAATGACGAGAGAAGGTTGGAGTATTCGGGTGTGGGATGATTGCTGCGTAGGGCCAGGAACCAAGGTCCGAGAAGGGGGCGATGGATGGTTGGTGGTATTATACTTATTCCCCAGATCTTCGATTTCGGAGCGCAGATCTTGACTCTTTATGTGAGACCCCAAGTAGCACAGGTACCTGAAAAGTAGGTGATGTCAGGCGGGGGGTGGGGAGGAGGGAAAGGCGGGATCAAGAAGCTAAGAAGGGTGGAATGGGAAATGTCCGACAAGAGTGAAGGTGCGGAAGAACCCCTTTTGTGAAAAAGGAAGGATAGTCGACGGTGAGTGCGGAGTAGACACGAAAAAGTACGTGTGGTGTCTGAGATTTTACTCAAGACCAAGTAACGAGCAGCGGGAATGCCGTGAGGCGTGGGGTGTGTGGGTGAGGACGGCGGCTGGTTTAAAGTGATCGTGGGACGACCCTGGGTTGTCGGTGACAGGCTATAATTGCGGGACCGCTTGTCTTTGCTTGCAACAATATTGGATGGGCAATATTGGAATTCGGCGCGATTGCGGATTACCAACCCTTGCTCCGGCAGCGGGTAACAAGGCCAAACGAGTCGGTGGATAGATTGAGCGAGCGAGCGAGTGAGCGCGTGAGAGGCAGATAACAAAGCGGGAGGCAGGCCAAGTTTTGGTTTCTCTTTTTTTGGCAAAATAGAAAGAGGGAGAGGAAGAGAGTGATTCGCAGAAGTGAGACAGGCAGAAGGGGGATCGGCGATACCACAGTCAGGCGCGGAGGGATGTTGCGACTCTTATGTGTGGGATATCGTTCGAGTGTGTAGCAGCTGAGCCAGGCCTGGAGGACAGAATAAGGCGAGTGTGAGTCGGTAGTCGACGCGGGCTTGCGTAGGTATGCGGGATAGTGTGGGTGGTAGCAGCAGCAGCGTTTCCTTGCTTGAGTGTATGTAGGATTCTGAGCCGAAAGAAGGCTGGAGCGAGTAGTCTATTGTGTACGAAGTACGAAGTAGAGGACAGACAGCTCGTGCGGGTTTGTGTGGGTGTGCGAGTGATGATGTGATGGGCTTGTCTTTGATTGGGGTTGGTTCGCGGGTTGTCCAGTTGACTTGCTTTTGATCCAGACGAGGAGAGTGGGTGGGTGTGGTTAAACAGTTAAAAGTGTGGGAGGAGTGTGGGAGGGATAGGATAAATGTGGTAATTGGGCCAGGAAAGCCTGGGGTGGGCGAGTCGAGAGGATAAAGAGAATAATATCAGGTGTGTGTGTGTGTGTGCGCGCGCGCGAGTGTGTGTCTTCTGCTTTTTCCCATCTACCGACGCAAGACCGAGATGGCTGTCCGAGTTGGGTTATTTACTTTGCCAAAGTAAGTGTACACGGTTACGGAGAGTAGCCGCGGTTGAAGAATCCATCTTATCTCCAGTTCTTTTTTTCCCCTTCCCTCTCCCCGCTGAGCGGAGCAAGACTGAGAGGGAAGGGAAAAAAGAGGGACGATATTCCATACGTCTTCACGTTATTTCCCGCCGTCTAATCCATGACGCTCTATGCCCTGGACCCGACCAACTCCTGGAGCCGCGATAATAGGTCCGAAGATGGAGGTGGATAGGTTGAATGAATGCGCGAGAGCTTGGTATGACGCCGAACCGCCGTCTGCATGGTTTCCTTCTTTCTCTTCCTCACTCTCTTCGGCTACCGTATCGCCTCGGCTTCCTCTCTTTGCCTCGTCAAGGAGACGACGACGCATACTTGTCCATCAACCCCAATAGCCACCTTCTACGACCCAGCATGGCCCAGCCCAGATCAACAGCCAGCAGCCTGCTTGACCTGATGTTTGTCATTGCGGGGAGGTACTTGCAGAGGCACAAGCGTCAGGCGTAAAGCCTCGCGGTAAACGTCGCCAAAAGCAGTAACTGAGGGCCTCCATGTGCCAAGTACCGGTACATCTTCCCCCCATCTGAGGCGGGGGGGAAGGGGATTTGCACCTCGTCTCGCGACTCAGCAAAGGCCAAAAGGCCTTCAGGGTCTTTGCGGATCAGCGGCTCGAGCGACCGCTGTGGCAGGTTCGGAAGCACACGCTCACAGTGCTTGACAGGCTGGAATGGGCGAATCCTGAGCGGCGGAAACGGAGGAGAGAGGTCGGCCTTCTCGCCGTCGAGCGTTTCGCAGTGTGGGGTAGGTATCCGTCGAGCCAACTCTTCACAAAAAAGGCAGCATGTCATGGTGCGGCGTGCCTTGGTGCTGGTTCCTGGGGGGCAGGTTGTCATAATGGGCCTGGGCTGGAAGCATGGGGGTGGCCTCGGCTCCCCATGTATCGGTACCTGCGTGTCTGCTTTTCCCTTGATGCGCCGTCAGCGAGAGACGCTGGGCCGTTTCTCCGCATGGTACTGGATCGCATCAAACCGCCCCTGGCTGTGTGATCCTGGGAAAGAAGCTCAAGAGCCAATGCACGGAAGCCCTGCCTCGTTCGATTTCGGCCTAGGACGAGGGAGACAACAGCCCGACGATGACATGCTCTGCTCCACTTGGGGGAGGACCAAGATTGCGCTATCCGTACCAGCCTATGTGATTGTGTGCCCACGCCCATCAAGGCCCGTCCATCATAGGCACAGTACGGATATTGGCCTGCCCAGTTGCGGAATGTCTTTCCTTTCTGGCGAATGAACGGATTAATGACTGAGAGACGCAGGCGGAAGCGGACGATGCGATGCAATGCGATGCAGTGCGAGATACTCGATCACGGGCTCGACTAGGATGATGTAGTATCCCGCCACGGAGGATGGTCCTCAGAGATGGGCTAGAGTAGATAGGGCAGTCATATAGTAGAGCAACGACCGTGCCTGTTGCTGCTGTGGTTCGAATACCAAGCACAAGCCTTAAGGTAAGGTGAGGTGGTTTCGCGGTGCTGGGTTGATGCGGGCTGAACTCTATCTTGGACGGGATTGCGGGGAAGAACTCCATGAGGGGAGGGGGAAAATCACAAGCCTTGAACTTGTTCCAACATCTCCATTAACACAAAGAGAAAAGCCGGGGAAGCTGCGAGCGATTGCCAAAACTCAAACGATGGAAGATCTGGTGGCTCCTGATTCAAGACGCCTCTTTCCATTTTGCTTGTGATTTCCCCCAGTCTCTGCTCCTCTGCCTTCCACATTGATCCCCCCAATTCATGAAGGCTGAAGCCTTCGTCTTCGTCAGCTCTTGCCTCTTTGGTTGAGCAGGCACCTCTTGCCTCACTTTCCGCGGGATGGCTGTGCGCAAAGGACCGTTGACGGTTGACGTATCCGCAAAAGACTTTTCTGCCTGAGCTTCCCGCTGCTCCTTACGTTGCGTGGTCGTGGATACTCACGTAAGGTAAGAAACTTGGGGCTGGAGAAGTGGCGACGGTTGTTGTTGGTCTTGAACTTGGTCCATCAGACTCCATGCTGCCGACACCTATCACCGAGAGCATCCTAGGAGATGCCGGCTTCGGTGGAGACATGTGAAGAAGAACCGAACGATGTTGACGGCGCATCCGTTTTCTCTGTGGCACTCTCCAGGCTTTCCACCCCACAAGACAACTAGCTTCTTCGGCGCCTCGCCTTAACTTTTTTTTTCTTCGTCTCGAGCGACCGTCGAACGCGCATGTCCGCCCCTCCGTCGCTTGGTTTTCCGACCTCGCTTCATCCTAGCGGCATGCTTCCCGTCTGGGGACCCTCTGGGCAGTGGGCTTTGGTCTCAAGCAACGGAAAATCTCGGGACGGAGATCTCCCACGTTTGACAAACGTGTCCCACTTTGGAAGAGAGGGAAAAAAATGCTTTCCCCACGGCTGCCCCGCCAAAACGTCCTCGCTGAGTCGCTCCAGCCAAATGCGAGGCTTCGGAATACCTTCGGCATGAGAATATCCCGGGCGGTAACACAGGCCGCGGCAGGATGATGCTCATGTTGGACCACTCTCTTCTGATCCAAGGGCGAGAATCATGCAATATCCATATGCCGGAGAATGGCAAAATTTCTTTCTTGCCTGAATGCCTTGTGCGTTTCTTTTCTGATTGACAAAAAATTTGATCAGGATCCTCCCTCACGTCGATTCTTGGAACGCAGCATTCGGAACCTGGCCCTCCACAGCATGCGTACGAATAGCCAAATGCGCAGCATCATAGTCTCGGACGAACAAGTTGACGACAGTTTGGATTGGGAAGGTTCCTCCTAGCCCATCGCCTAGGACCATGCAGCTTTAGTCGAAGCTACCTAGGTAAGGTAGGTGGGCAGTGGCAGGTCAACCTCGACTTCTGGTAGCAACGCATGTCCAGTGTAAGGTAGTCGCCGTGGTAGACGGCCTCAACTTCCGATTAGCTCGCCAGTGTTCGAGTCAATTCGCCGAGGAGTTGCTCGGCAAGCGTCGAAGCAAAAATTAAACCAGGTGCCCATCAAGGTCCAGAGCCATCAAAAGAGGTGTGGAGGGGATGGAATCGATCGATGGGCCATGCTTCCCCTCTGTAATAGCGTCGGCGCTGGCGTAGGCGCATACACTTGCATGTTCTGCACGAGTCGCGCGATCTTTCTATCTGGCATGTCAATACGTAGTGCTCTGTGCCTGGCCGTCATGGCTCCTGTCAACTTTCCAAGGAATGGCTCAATGCTTGCCGGGCAGTGTCCGGTGTGAGTGCCCGCCGTGACGGACATCGTTCCTGCGGGCGGGTCAGCTTTCTTCCTGCAACCACGTCAAAAGTGACAAGCTGTCGACGGGCGGAAAACCCGTAACGGCGGTAGGAGAGGCCCATTTGGGAATTGGGCGAGGAATTTGACCGAAAGTACCGAGGGTCACCTTGCGACCCCCCCCCCCTCCCTGGAGAAGAAGAGGAAGACGCAGAACCTGAAGCCCCACCCGCTAGAAGGTCTCTCGGATCTGGGAAATTCACCGCGGTTGATCCGCAGCCACTCACCTTGGACCGACCGAGGGCACGCTATCATTTGGCAGTTTTTCCAAGTTCCGGGGCACGCCGATATCGCCCCGCCGCCGAGGCAGGCAACTCTGGAACTTGAGCGAGATTCCCATGAACTTTCCAGCCAGTGACATATGGGAATTCTTCCAGTCTGATGCCCGGGACTTTGGCCCAAGTGACCCGCCAATATACGGAGTACTTGCAAGAAAAGCATTGCTACGGATATGTTCGTGTCAATCAAAAGCTGCATCGAGGACGAGGGCAGATTCAGAAAGAAGAGGCATACCGCAATACAGCCAAAGGCAGGCATGTCACAAGAAATTCAGGGTCCATCCACGGCGCCGCAAACCCGCTCCGTCTTCCCAGCTGCAGCAGAGTATCCGTAACTGACTGGACGGCCGCTGGACACGGCTGCAGCTCTCCTGCAGCTGTCCCGGTAGCTTTATTCAAACCAGCAAACGGGCGTCCATTCATGCACTTGCTGTCCACTGGCCCATGGTCCACGGGTCAACGTCTCCATGGCCATATTCAAGAGTAAGAGTGGGATAAAGCAACGAGAAGGAGAAATAAAAACCCTCATGCAACACTAAGGTAGCAAGTTCTGGCACCACCCACTTTATGCCCCTGTCTCGCCCCAAATGCGCCGAGAAAATTGAGGAGCGGGAAAGTAGACTTCGGGAGCAAAGACCCCTTATCTCGCATGGAGAAGCGATAAATTACTCCGAAGACACAGGATGGGCGGTGTAGAAAGTTGCGCATCGCGACGGGCATAATCGTACAACCACACGAATACCTTACGGAACAACGGACGTCTCCATCAAATCTCATGAATCCGACCAACCAAACCACGAGCTGTAGAGTACTACCTACGGAGTATACCGATTTCCTGACCTCAGGCCCAACTTTGAAGTTTGAGAAAGGTAGCTACAGCCTACCGCCCCGCCATTCCGCGAGACCGAGGCACGCCGCACGCCGCACCGCTCCCCCTTTCACCCAGGGCAAATCACACCTACCAGCCACGCATCGGCGCCGCATCTTTTCCCCCGAGCTCGCTCTGCATCCCATCCCGCAGCTCACCCCGCCGCCGAGCCCCGTCTACCGGACACCCGACCTCCACAACCCTCGGCTCAATCTCCCCGCGTCATACGACGGGAGCTCTCCGTTCCATCCAATCCCTCCCAACCACACCCACGCCCGGGACTCCTACCCGCCCGCCCGCCTTCATCATCGACCGCATCGGCCTCACCGAGAGCAAGCCACCTCCGGCGCCAACGCCGCTGCCGCAAGCTAGCCATCATGCCGGACAACACCCCGAGAAGCTGGTTCGCCGTCCCGGCCCCCGTCGCCGCCCTCTTCCGACGCTTCCCCCTCGCCGTCTACCCTGCCAACGACCTACCCCTCCGCAGTCCCTCCCGCGGCGACACGCCGACACTATACGTCTTCATCGCGGACGACGATGCTCCGAGGGGCCGACCGAGCTTCAACCCCTCGTGTCTAAAGTGGCAGGTTCGTTTCGATGTCTTCCTCCTCTTCCCTGGCGACATGCCCGCCGTTGCCTATACTCGTCCTCCGTCTTTGCACGCAGCATCCGGCTAACCCTCCCCTCCCAAACAGACCTTTCTCAAAATCGCCGGCGTAGACTTCCACATCGCCCCCTCAACAAACCACGCCTCCCCCTCCGGCGCCCTCCCCTACCTCCTCCCGCCCTCCCCTCTCCGCCCCATCGCCGGCCCCTCGAAACTCGAATCCTACGCCCTAGAAAACACAACCCTCAAGAGGCTGCCCGTGCTCTCCTCCTCCTTCTCGACCTCCTCCGCGCCCGACGCGGAGCTCAGGGCCCGCGAACAAGCCTACCAGTCCTTGCTGGACCACCGCCTCCGCGCCGCCTGGCTATACGCCCTTTACCTCGCCCCCGCCAACGCGGACCTTCTGTCGCGACTCTACATCGAGCCGGCCTCAAAGAACCCCGTCGTCAGGCTGACGCTCGCGCACCAGGTCCGCGCGGCGGCCGAGGCCGAGGTGCTGAAGGTGACGAGGAGCGCGGTGGTGGATGCGAAGAGGGTACACGCTGACGCGCGCGCCGCGTTTGAGGCTCTTGCTGCGTTGCTGGGGGAGAACGGCAGCAGTCGAAGTAGTAGTCACTCAGAAAAGGGGGGAGAGGGTGGTGGTGGTGAGTGGTTCTCTGGCTGCGAGGGCCCGACGCTGTTTGACGCGTCTGTCTTCTCGTACACGCAGCTGCTGCTCGACGAGGAGTTTGGGTGGGTGGACGAGTCGCTGTCGGAGATTCTGCGCGAGTTTCCTGCTCTTGTGAGGCATCGCGAGAGGCTGCTGGAGAGGTGCTTTCCTGATAGCGAGGAGGGGGTCTTGGTATGATGAACACAAAGTAAAGTATAGCTTCAGAGCAAGACAGAGGGGCAAAACGGGGGTGGAAAAGAGCCCGGAGGCTACCGGCTCCTTTACCGTATAAGACGATCGGAATAGACATCCGCCTATAAGTGACGGAATAATACATCATCAGCATGGCACGGCAGGTCACCGAGGTAACATATAGGGTTATCTAGAGGCGGCTTGCCAGCGTTTACGCTTCTCAACTTACAACGTTTTCTTACTCTACTGGGTGATATCTAATGTTTCGATATTACGCGTATGATGCGAGACGTGTCTGGATGAGGCGTCATTTCTAGACCAATGTCTTCGCGGAATCGGACAAGATATTGCCTCTCTCTTTCTCGGCCGACATCTGTTTGGCTTGAATAATTTGACGTTGGATGATGTACCTAAGGATTTGTGTGTGAGTTGGTCCCCATACTAGCTCTGTATTCCAAGAAAGAATTCGATTCGAATGTTTGTTTAGCATTCAAGTTAGGTAAACCCCTTTCTCTCATGCCGACTAGGCCGTTCAGCTGGCTCGCGGTGAGTGATATTGAAGGGGGTTTTTATCAAATGTGGCCACACGGCCTAGGTTGAATCACGGGCGCCTTTGAGGAACACGCCAGGATAACGACCATCTCAGCTTGGTCAAGTCGACTTCTTAGTTGACTGATTGCCTCTCATAAGCCTTGAGGCGCTTACCGGATGCTTCTTATTTCAGGCAAGGGAAGAGGGATGGTAATGACGCAGCATGTCGTGGGCGCTGACGGCTTCGCAGGCAGACGCGGCGGGGTACCCTTTTGAACAGTGACATGGGGGCCAAGGCCTCCAGATATGGTGTGACGGTTTTCTATCAGAGTAAGTTACCAATGCCATGGTATGGGCGACAGGAGTAGAATGAACTTCATCCTTCCACTGCTAAACGTTGAGGATGTCAGCGGCTGGCTTGTTGATACCAAGAGGGCAGCAGGTGCATAATAAAACATCGAATCGTGCTAAAGATGTATGAGGATGCCCTCTGATGTTTCCATTGATTGGCTTAGTACAAGAGTCTGAGTTCTTTACCAAAAGTCTGGGACACGAGGATGCAGTCAGCAAACCAAAGGATAGCTCCAGTATCATGCCTCTACATGAACTTTCAGTCCCTACCATAAAAGGCTATCGCGGTAGATCAGGGAATGAGGC